CGATGCATCTAAATAATACACACAAGCCTGCCAGATATTTTCTACTTCGGATTATTTCCCCACATCCATAACGTGTACACTATCTCGCTGGACTCTGTCCGGATGATGGCTATTTGATAAACAAACTTGATGAAAAGCTTACAGGAACGAGGCGTTATCACTCTCAGCACTTGCTGTGGTGTACTGACTGAACATAGCAACAAGTGTATTGAGTACAATTGTAGCCTTCTCCAAATCGGTTGCAGTAACTTCGATTAAAATATTACGGGTTCCAAGATGGATTTTCGAATGTTCACCTGAAAAAATTTGAAAAAAAAATGAGAAAAATATTATGAAAGGTAACACTGATAACAGCAGCAGGCTGATTTAATGGATCGAAAAATTCCAATTCAGTTTTAATTTCTATTTTTGCTTTAGCCAACTATAAAAGAGCTTTTTGTGACAAGACAAGCAACTGTAAAGCGAAAGTCGAACGAAATATCTATGAAACGAAAAAGATCAGCCCTAAATGATACAGATAATCAGAAATGACACAAATATGCAGTTCTGTTAGTTTAATTAATTTTTAAAAACCTAGCATGCATTTGAAATAATACCATTAATTATTGGTGGCATTGAGAGCACCACACCATTGCTATCCCGAATCACTGGATACCGCTCTTCACCAGCAATGATCGGAAGATATCGCTTTAAATGATTATCCGTCTGCAAAACAACTTAGACAGCAAAGAGAAGCTTGCAAATTTGCCGCTGAGGGAAGGAATGCTTTCCTCAGACAGCTTTCTCTACCCCCCACAGCTTTCTCTGCTATCCTTCGTTTCAATGGTAAACAGTTATAAATAAATGCCAAAAAGATGAGGCCGCCGTCAGCTCAATCCTCAAAGAACGGGAGCAACGGCAAATTTATTGGCGAGAAGTGCTACCTATCACTCACAGCTGCTTCTGAGAGATTTCGCCTTTTAAATATTACGAATTGATTCTCTGGGACATAATTACAGCAATTTGATCTTTCGCGAGAGGGGAGAAAGGAAAGGTTCAGTTCTGAGTATTAGTTTTGGCTTCCGTACTATATTATGATTTTTTTCATTGTACTATATTACGATGATTTTTTTCATTTTCCCATTTCGCTTTAATTTTCTGTTCTACTAAAAACTATTTTTTTTTTTTGCAAAATTAAGAAAACATAAAAACATACCGAATATAAAATCATCAACTCTTCGGCCGTATATTCCTTTACCTGATTGAGTGGTCTGAATCGAATCTCGCGCGGCTTTTCAGCACCATAGTAAAATGGTCCTAAGCAAAATTTTCACTTTAACTGAGACGAAGAAAAATAAGGGTTTATGAACGCATTTACTATGAATGTCATTTCGGACAAATGGCGTGGGAATCCGGTGTTACTGGAATGCATCGATATCTGGGCGCACCACTGCAAGCCATTCGGTCCTTAGCCCAAGTTAGTATTTGTCATCTGTTCGACGTATAAATCCTGCTCATTTGGAGACTGCTCGAATGACCTGCGTGGTCGCACTTCTTTCGTCCTCTAAAGGGATTGCCGGTCAGTTCTTCCCCAGACAGAAGCAGTTATTTCCCCGTGAGGACCATTAACTAATCTGCGGCGCTCACTGACTGATAGCAAGATAAGCAACGAATTTTCTAATAAGAGTTTAATTTCTTGCATCGTCGTTATAACATCGAACATGCTTTAATTCACTAGAGTCCAACTACTTGAACGAACATAAAGAGACATTTAATGTAGCCTTCACTCCAGTGAACTGGCGCTCGCTCTTCTGCTTTCGACAGAACCCATATTACGCTCCAAGTGCAAATGGAGAGCCCTCTCCGCCCGATTCGACACTTTGAGGACAGTGACGAAGTGTAGAACTGCACTAAACAGCAACTTCAATCTAAAGCCCCCCTTTTGAAAATTATGCACCATATTCATGGGCTAATTCAATGTACAAAAACACTTTCTTCGGCACAAAAATCTGGAAATCAGGAAGAATCTCAAAGAAGGAACCTTGCACGGTATCCAAATCATGTGTGCCAATAGCGACAAGTGACCTCTTTCGGCAAATATTTTGATGTAGCTTGTCCTGCAAATCAATGAACGAAGCGTACGAATCTGCATCCAATTGCACGCCAACCAGGATGGCTCCCAAAACAAAAGGTCGTATCGTGAGCACTTCAGGCCGAATGAAAATTTGATGCCGAAGTGATGTTTTATGCCGCTGATAAACAGGCGGCTCAATCCTGAAAGTACCAGTGGAATTACAGGAATTTACTGAAATAGACAAAAAAAAAACGCATTTTTGGTTTTTCAAATGTGAATACGTCTCACAAAAAACAGCTTTGTTACAGCGGCGTGACCATAAATAGTCTTAGGAATAGTCGCCAATTTTAATGCTGACCGTCGTAAAAAAAAATGACTTCGTGCGGCTTCGTCTTGTACTAAC